GACGTCAGTATGAGAGCCTCTTGTCTCCTTGACATAAGGTTATCCACCAAGAAACCTCTTCGGGGCTTGTGTTTCTTAAACACTTCCAGATTGTTTGGGAGCTTCAGAAAAATACTGGTTCACATGATTTTAGCTCATTACATGGAGGAATTGTCGGTCTGCGTGATTTCCAGTCGCACGCAGGGATGGGATTTTCAAATAAAATGACCTCCAGGTGACCTCACACATCATTCAGTTAAAGAGGACATATTTACTTTTTGATTGCATGTATACTATTAGCTGGGTCTCACCCATCTGTCAAGTGTGATAATAAGCAACCAAATTGTTTGTTTGCTGCATGTTTCTAAATATGTCTCTGGATTGGAGCCTTTCCGAATTTAATTTCAAATTTGAAGTAACAGTCACTAATTTGCAATACAGTAATTACAATAATATGGCCCTTAGATGGAGTTTCTCCACCCATGACTTGGCTGCTAGCTCCGTCATTTACAAGTTGCCACCAGACTACACCGTCTGAAACACTTAGCCAAAACATAAGCGGAGCTGCAGTGCGTCTTCTTAAATGTGCAGATGAACTTCTCATAAAGTGAAATTATTAAGGTACAGTGATCACTCGCTATTTCGCGGTTCGTTTATCGCGGCTTCAGTGCATCGCGGATTTTTTCAAACATATTCATGAAAAAAAAAAACTTGCAGACCGTTTGCGGACTTTTTGCGGACTTTAAAAAAATAATAATTTTTTTATATGTTTACTGTATTTTGTTATTCATAAAATTTGTTTGCTGATGATGGATGCTTGTTTTTTTTTTTTTTTTTTTTGCTTTGCTGAGAAACTGTGTGTAGGGGTTTATTTCATCATCTTATATCTGCAGAGTAGCGAGGCCGGCGGTGGTACAAATATTTTGGGGATCTGAGGCGACGCTCCTCAATCTCCTCATTCCATGGCGACGTCTGCTAAAGGTGACGTCACGCCATTGCCATGCATAATAAAGGAAGCGTCTGTATGGCTGAATTTACGACTATCACCGCAAATGTCCTCTTGATGCTTTGTGTTTCAAGTGGGATTTAATTCAAGTCAAATGTTTGGACAGCAACTGTGACTCAAAACAACTTTGCAAATTCACGGACAATTGTCAGTAGTCTCTTGATCAGTCTCCCTCTCACTCACACGGAGGGAATATTTGGCTTTTGATGACATTTGGGTGGGACATGTGCTGATGAGGCGTCACATGGATATCTGATTTATATCCATATACAAAAGAGGCCCGGGTTGAATGAGAAAATCTGAATTGTATTGTTCACACTGCCTGAAAAAAATCTGATACGTGTCACACATGGGCAAAAAAATTGGAGTTGAACTGCAGTGTGAACATAGCCTAAAATTATTTTGGGAGGGGTGGGGGGGGTGAATAAAATCTAACAAACCCACTCTGGAAATGAATTACAACTGACTAAATTAAAAAACAAAACTAAATAAAATCTCAGTATAATGAGAAACTACGATAACCCTGGTCCCCACTGATCACAATAAACCCACCGAAGTGTTATCAAGTTCCTTATGTTATGTATTCTGTCACCCATGAAAGAATGTGTCCTTTTGGGCTCAGCTGACACTTGAAAGACAAGATGTGACTTTGCACTGAGCTGTCCCCTCTGGCTGGGTTCAAACCCGTTGCTGCCTTTCGTTGAGTGGCTGGGAAATGCGCTCTGTCACTGAACTCCAAAGGAAGCGGATAGGAAAATCGGAAATCCCCTTTAAAGCCTTTTGAAAATAAGAAATCTTGCTTTGGTGGGACCTTGCCATCTACTTGCCAACTTCTCCTCACAAAACCAAAGCAGCAACTAGCCCCGGCAGCCCAGCGCAGCCATGCCTCCCTCCCCCCGGCTTTCCTTTTGCCCGTTACTGCACATGGATCTGATTTGCTGCCTTATTAGAGGGTGTTTGCCTCCTGTAAATGAAATACCCAAAGAGGCCAGTGTCCATCCACTCACCTCCTCGTCTCTGGTGTGTCTAGACCACAGAGACAGTCCTGTCTGCGCCACACAGAAGCCAAGCAGTGGGATACATACATCGACACCTCTGATGACAGACAGCAGTTGTTTTTCACTCACACTGTCCAATCGGACAGTATTAACTGTCAATGACATCGCTCAACCTTCAGAAAATAAAAGCGCGCGACAGATTCAGGATTTTCAACAAGGCGTGTTTACATGGCTCTACTTCTCCGCGCAAGGGCAAATGTTATATACATGCAGTCAAGGCTATCTGAGAAACCGGCGGACATGGCCTCGGCAAACACAACCAATCTCTTAATCTCGCTCTGTTTGAGCCTTCCTTTTGCCTTCGTCTCCTGGAGTGAAGCAGGGATAAAGCGGCGGCGTGTCTCACTTTTCAGAATTAAGGAAGCCCTTTCAACTTGATGAAGACATTTTTGTCTGTCCTCAAGAGAATTTTTAAGAAATGTTTTAAGACCAAATAACATGAGCACTTCTCCGAGCCATGCCAGAAACCCTTTCCGCTTGGAAATATTTGCTTTGGACGCCAGCCTTGCCCAGCACACAACACAAGCAATTATGGGAGCTATTTTAAACGAGAGAGATCTACTGACAGGCGACGCCTCATTTGGAGGGATGAAGGAATCAGGAAATGAAACCTTCATTGATGCACTGAGAGTATGGAAAGAGAATTCCCGCAGGTCTGTTTGCATCTCCCACAGGCATGCTGTGCATCCATTAGGGACATTTGGGTTTGCGCATGCATTTGAACAACTTTTCGGTTTCAAGCAGCTGCTCTCTTTGTTATTGCCAACTTCATGAAGCCAACAGCAAGGCACACTACACGGTAAATCCAGGAAAAGCTAGCTCTTTGGCAATCTCGGTTTGTAGGTTGCAGAGAGGTTTGCCGCTTGAAATCAGAATTGGACAGCAGACTTGGTCCATCGGGTGACCAGCCACTGATGTCTCGTCAGGTGCCGTTTTGAGCTCACGACTGTCTGTGCGCCGCTCTCTGCATTTCTGTGGGGAGGAACAAAGAAGACAGAGTCAATTTTAATTTGTAACTCTGCCGGGCTGAGAATTCCCCAGAAAGGAAACTTAACCTAGAGGCCTTCTCAGACTGGACAAATAGACAGTAATTTAGTTTCGCATGACGGTTTATTAAAAAACCAGCCTTGTATACACGGCAGATTATTGATGCAACGAGCAGTGGGGTGGATAAGGTTCCAATGTGGTCGGTCCTGATAGAGCTCAGGTCTCCAGGGGAAGCGAGAAAATGGAGTGTTACCTCCAGAGCCACAGTGCACTCATGCACAGTTCTTTGGACTAAGAAAAGCAACACAGAAAAAAAATGTGTAAGATTTTTGATAGTGAGAGACATATTTTTGTCCCAAGTGGGCATACCACAAGGAGTGTGCCATTTATTATCAGTGGCACAGTCAATTGTGGTCATCGCCATTTCTTGTCCTGTGGGAGAGCCAAGCCTCAGGCGATACCTTTGAAAATGTCCTGCCTCTGTGAGGTGCATTCACTTGGTTGCTTGCACCAGCCCTCGAGTCACCCCCCCTCTCCCCCTCCACCCCGACTTCTGCTTCCTTCCTTCTAAATGCATTCCTTCACCATGGGGCTGACAGACACTCGTCATCAGCAGGTACTCTAGGCCAGGTGGATCAGGTTTCTCACTTGCCAGGGCTTTGTGCTGCATGTGCAATTTTATGGGTTAGGCATGCTGCAGTTGGCAGTTTCTCTGCAAATCTTGTGAGCTGCCATTTTGGATGCCTATTTGTCAAGGCCTCTGCAGACAGATTAAGACAAGCCCTTTTGGCATTCCTGTATACAGTATTTAAAGGGACGCTGAGGCCAGATGGTCAATTGTTTTTACTATCAATTTATGTTTGTTTGTTTGTTTTTTTATTAACATGAAATTCATGTGAGCTTGTCTTTTCAATATTCATTTGTTTTTGAGAAATCAATAAAAAAAAAGGAAACACTAAATGAAAATGAGAGATATGGCCACGCCCACCTCCCCTCCTATTTTTTTCTGTCAACGTATTATCGAATTATGGATAGTGTGGGACTCAGTTAAATCGTATTGTGTTGCAAATGACATTTTGCCAGTTTAAGGAATAACAGCTGTTAAGCAGATGCATTTTAAGGGTAACTCTTAATTACATGGCTGTGCTGTCATGTCACAAAGTGGAAGTGGCTGCACAAAATACATTCACACACAAACGACAACATAAATATCAGTCAAGTTGTTTATTTCTGGTGATTGAATGTTAAGGGAAGAAAATAGTGACTGCAAGTGGTTCTCGCAAGTGGTTCACACTTTCTGAGAACCACCCATAAAAGAGCAACTATTATAACATGGATTTACAATGTTTATTTACAATATGTCATCCTGTACATGGTAAATCAATCCATTAATAAATCAAGGGTTGGGATGTACTTTTTGGCCCAGATTTCATCCAGATTAAATGCATTTGTGAGTAAATTGAGAAGCAATCAGTAATTTCAGGATTCATACTTGTTGTGGCATTTTTGTTCTGGTTGTTTGCCATGATTTTTTTTCGACCGTAACATGGGTGCTGTGGCTCAGTAACAGTTGGGAAACACTCAACTTTGTGCACAAAGCAAAGTCAATAAAAGACCTTTGAATTTGGTGTGGAAGATTTTACGACCAGCCAAGTATGACATTCAAATTAACATCATGCATGTGAAGACGTTAATGTGTTTGGTAAACATTATGTTACGGCTTGTACTTAAACTAATATTGGCATTTAACTCTGCTCTGTCTTTAGTAGCCAAGGCCTCGTGAAGTGACTGTAGGCTCTTAAAAACGACATTCATCTGTTTCTTATTAGATCTCTCTGTGTTCAAAGACTTGCTTATTATGATTGCGGTTTACAAGTAGTTTTCCAGACTCTGGCCAGCAGCACTCTGCGTACGTTTTGTTCGAACCTGAAGTAATTGTAACTGTGTCTTGAACGTTTCTCTCTTTGCAGATGTAGACGAGTGTTCGGAGGGCAACGGCGGATGCCAGCAGATCTGCGTCAACATGATGGGCAGCTATGAATGTCGCTGCAGAGAAGGATTCCTCCTCAGTGACAACCAGCATACCTGCATCCAAAGGCCAAAAGGTTACATACGTACATAATGCACACATGCAAAAAGATTAGCCCCAAAAGGTCTTATTTGGACAATTATGTTGATTTATCCAACCATATGCGATAGGCCTCTACCACGTGTAAAAGCAGGTTTTGCAATTTCATGTCCACAATTATGTTTTACTCTAAACTGAAGGGTGAGCAACATAATAAGTTTTCATTCTGCAGGGGACAAGAAAAAAAGAAGAGTGGTATAAATCTTTTTTTTTTTTTTTTTTTGCTTTCCCTCTGACATTTCAAATTGAACCCATTCAATGTCTGACAGCATTTGAAGCCATTGGCTTTTGGAGTAGGCCCAGGGTGCTGTGAGCGGATAAAATGATTAAAGGTAGTGCTTAGGGAAGGCATACCTTAGATTTATTGGATAGACATTTTTTTAACCTGTTGAAGTGTGACAAGACAGGGACTCAGGATTTATATCATATATGTAATGATCAACTACACGTAGTGGTATGCTAATCTGCATGTTGCACTGCTGCATACTCACTCCTTTAAAATCATGTTAAACATTCTTTTTTTTTTTTTTATTATCATGATTGCAATCATGGGTGGCACGGTGGCTGACTGGGTAGCACATCCGCTCACAGTGCAGAGGTCCAGAGTTGGATTCCGGACTCCTGCAGGGAGGGAAGTTTTTATTATTAGCAGATTTCCTTCACAGTTCTCAAGTGTGAACTTGGAAACTCAACTCCGACCTTCCCCAAAAAGGAATAGACTCTAAGGGCCCTGCTTTCGTAGACAGGTGTGCACGCGCCCGGTGTAAAAAGTGGCGCATCTTGATTTTTGTACAGGGTCAAGTCTAGTTTAGCGTGTTTGGGAAGTTGGCAGACCACGCTACGCCTCGTCGGGCATTCCAGCAGACCAACGGCATTTTCTAATAGACGCCTCGGCGCACCTCCATGACCAACTAGAGACTCACCCACCAATTTTCTGACAACAAGGCATGTCCTGCTCAACACTTTACTTGGGAACATTCTCGTATAAAAAAGATATTTTTGTTGGTACTCCGGTATTTTAGTTTGTCTTCACCAGCCCTGCATTGTCCTACACCGTGTTTCCATTCAGCATTAGTTCGGAATTTGGCCATCAATAAACATATATTGGTGATCTCAATCACATGTTTTTGCAAGATGTGATGATTGAAAAGATTCCAAAGCGCAGCCAGCCCAACCTGATATTGCGGCGGTAGTCAATGAGCTCCGATGTTCCAAACTCCCCTGGATTGTGCACTGTGCATCTTGGAAGTCTGGGGTTTATGAGATCAGGCTGGCCTGGTGAACTGTCAGTGTTTACATTTCATAAACGCAGTGTTATTTGAGTGGAGTAAAAAGCCGGATCGTGTGTCTCAAAGCACTACGACTCTATCCATGGTGCCAGAAGCAGTGCGTGAGCACCAGGCCCGTTTGACAAATGTGCTCACGAAGAGTGGTATAAATCTTTTTTTTTTTTTTTTGCTTTCCCTCTGACATTTCAAATTGAACCCATTCAATGTCTGACAGCATTTGAAGCCATTGGCTTGTGGAGTAGGCCCAGGGTGCTGTGAGCGGATAAAATGATTAAAGGTAGTGCTTAGGGAAGGCATACCTTAGATTTATTGGATAGACATTTTTTTAACCTGTTGAAGTGTGACAAGACAGGGACTCAGGATTTATATCATATATGTAATGATCAACTACACGTAGTGGTATGCTAATCTGCATGTTGCACTGCTGCATACTCACTCCTTTAAAATCATGTTAAACATTCTTTTTTTTTTTTTTATTATCATGATTGCAATCATGGGTGGCACGGTGGCTGACTGGGTAGCACATCCGCTCACAGTGCAGAGGTCCAGAGTTGGATTCCGGACTCCTGCAGGGAGGGAAGTTTTTATTATTAGCAGATTTCCTTCACAGTTCTCAAGTGTGAACTTGGAAACTCAACTCCGACCTTCCCCAAAAAGGAATAGACTCTAAGGGCCCTGCTTTCGTAGACAGGTGTGCACGCGCCCGGTGTAAAAAGTGGCGCATCTTGATTTTTGTACAGGGTCAAGTCTAGTTTAGCGTGTTTGGGAAGTTGGCAGACCACGCTACGCCTCGTCGGGCATTCCAGCAGACCAACGGCATTTTCTAATAGACGCCTCGGCGCACCTCCATGACCAACTAGAGACTCACCCACCAATTTTCTGACAACAAGGCATGTCCTGCTCAACACTTTACTTGGGAACATTCTCGTATAAAAAAGATATTTTTGTTGGTACTCCGGTATTTTAGTTTGTCTTCACCAGCCCTGCATTGTCCTACACCGTGTTTCCATTCAGCATTAGTTCGGAATTTGGCCATCAATAAACATATATTGGTGATCTCAATCACATGTTTTTGCAAGATGTGATGATTGAAAAGATTCCAAAGCGCAGCCAGCCCAACCTGATATTGCGGCGGTAGTCAATGAGCTCCGATGTTCCAAACTCCCCTGGATTGTGCACTGTGCATCTTGGAAGTCTGGGGTTTATGAGATCAGGCTGGCCTGGTGAACTGTCAGTGTTTACATTTCATAAACGCAGTGTTATTTGAGTGGAGTAAAAAGCCGGATCGTGTGTCTCAAAGCACTACGACTCTATCCATGGTGCCAGAAGCAGTGCGTGAGCACCAGGCCCGTTTGACAAATGTGCTCACTATTTCCCTTAATATTTCATTTTCATATTAATTTGAACTTCATGGCTTCCAGATGAAATTTAGATCGGGCGATAGCAGCGGTAATGTAAATGTAATAAAACTCACTCCTTCATTCAGATAGCAGCTCTTTCCGTCATTGTTTCATTATTTTGAAAGATGACTTGGCTGCTTATTATTCAGCACCTTCTCATTCACAACTCATCCTGAGTGAACACTTGATCAGTGTAATACGAGTGGAGCATATTAGCTGCAGGGACCCTTCAAAGGGTCAAATTTGGATGTGATATTTCACTTCAAAACATGACGTGCTGGTAACAAGCGCACATTTATTAAAAGAGCCTTTGGAAGCCATTATGTTATATGATGTGTGAACGCTCAAATTGAGGTCTGGTTCGGTTTATGCACAAAAAGCACCTGGTCAGAGTTACAATATATTGCGGCTTTAGCTTAAGTTATTACTTCCTCAAGGCCGTGCGAGCTTTACCTTCATGGTTACAGTAAGACTTGTCGATAATCCTGGAAATGTCTTGCTTGTAAAGAACTAATGATCCCCGTTTCAAGTGTTCTGGTTTTTGTTGCGGTGTGTCAGCAGAACATGAACTTGGGTCACCAGTAGCAAAGTGCTTGTTTGATCCATCTCAGATGACACGAATGGCACCACCATCCATCATGCAACTTCCACTGCCACATTCTGTCCTTTAAAGAAGTAGGGCCTTTTGCAAAATGAAACAGTTGACAGTGTGTGTGTATATGTGTGTGTGTGTACACACACACACACACACACACACACATATATAGGGTACATCACTGTGAATCTGAATGAAACAGGAAGGAAAGATTGTGTCTCTGCCTGTGTATTGGACCTGAAGGATAGATTAATGCTGCATTTTTTTCACGAGTGGTTCAGGAACATAAATCCTTGAGAAAATGAAAAGTGATCTGCTCTCCTGGCCAAGTAGGTTTAAATGCGACTCTCCTTCCATTCTGCAGGATTTCTTCCTAACCCTGAGGGTGCAGTTTTCTCATAGGAGTCACTGTTACCATTAAAAAGACACTTGCTTTCCATTTCTTTCATGAACAGATACAGTGTTGTGAGCAAATTTTGGCCTTCCAAACTGGACACAGTGGTGTCTGGCATTCTGGTTGCAGTCTGTTTTCCTCTGCCTGTTAGTAAACACTTGCTAGCATTGAACCTGTGCCAATTAGACAGCAGGGGTCTGCTAGCTTCTCAGCTAATGACAAAGTTGCTGCTGGTCTGTCTCTTATTAGATTTGCCGTAACCCCCCCCCCCCCCACACACACACCACCCCGCAACCCCCTGAACAGAAATAACTCAAGCCAAATGAAGGTTCCATCGTCTACCTGGCCAAAATGTAACAGTTCATTTATTCTCTCTGAACATTTCTCCTTGTGAAGACATAAAGTCTTTGAAAGGCCAACCAAGGTGCTTGACGGTTGATAGGAATGACATTTAGGTTCAAAAAAGGGTCCACTGCTTTGGATTTGATTTAATGTTTACCTTTGAGAGATGGATGACAGGAGCCCTACAACAGTCTGTGTGCGTGCGTTTGTGCGTGAGTCGAGATACTGTGCACAGGAATTTTGGAATTTCAGACTCAGCAAAGCCACACATTTATATTTTGTGTTTTGCACATTTATGAACACAAAGTAGGGCAATTACTTGAAGTGTGCATTGATGGATTGTTACAAAAGTAAAGCAGCTAATGTATTCGGTGTCCTTCCCCTGACTGTTCATGACACAAAATGGAAATGTTTTGAAAGTTGTGCTAAAAATAGAGCTGCACAAGCTGTTGCCATTGAAGGAGGATACAAAATGTATCTAATATGATATCATATATCCGCCTGGAGGTCGACTGGTTAGCGCGTCGGCCAGGCAATGCAGAGGTGCAGGGTTCGATTCCGGCTCCGGCCTTCCTGTATGGAGTTTGCATGTTCTCCCCGTGCCGTTAATTTATTTGTGCCATTAATTTATTTGCAGAGGGTTTCAGAACCAAAACTGTGCTGTGTTGGGGCACATTTCGTAGAGGATGGCTTTGTCAACGTCACCTTTGACACCCGCTATATTGTAAATGCATTTCCAGTTTTAAGTGACACAGCCACACATACGAACAAATTACACAGCCGCCTCCCACCATGGAGTGGGATTTAAAATAAATAAATAAACCAGTGTTCAACTGAGATCCAGCTGGAGACAGTGGCTTCCCCCTGTCGGTCCTTGATCGAGGTCGCCCTGAGTCACCATGGAGAAGGAAAGAAAAGGAGGAACATTTTTCCTTCACGGCAACTGGGCCAGCACAC